TCTAATCTGTTATTAAAGAGTTTTTCCAGAATTTTTGAAAACTGTGACAACAGAGAAACCGGTCTATAATTTGTGAAGTTGTGCTTATCCCCAGATTTATACAGTGGAATAACCTTTGCTATTTTCATATTATTGGGGAACTGACCAAGTCGAAACGACATGTTAAAAACATGGGTTAATGGTTTGCATATCACCTCGATTGCCCATTTAACCATTGTTATACTGATACCATCACTATCACTGGATTATTTATTACCACATTTGTTCACTATATCTATAATTTCCTTTTCAACAATTGGCTTAAGAAACATAGAACACATATTTCTTTCAATTGTATTGTTATTTGTATTGACGTCTTTACAAATGGTACTTGCTAAGCTAGGACCCACATTCACAAAAAACCTATTAAACTTCTCAACTACATCCTCAAATCTGTTGACCGGTGTATCATTGTTCATAAAATATGGGGGATAATTACTCCTGCTGGTACTGTTTCTAATCAATTTATTTAATATCTTCCAAGTACCTTTCATATTATTTTTATTATCCTCTAATACTTTAGAGTAATATAGTTTCTTAGTTTGAATGCTTTCACAGAGTGAAGCAGAGGTGGTCTGCCACACTTTATTTGGAATTGTGCAACAGCAGAAGATAGGGCTAAGCTGTGTAAGAGATAAACACTGATGACGACAGCATTAAAGTCCATCAGGCTGGAGCTTCTTGAACTATAAAGTCAAAGGATTGTTGCTGTCACTATGTCTGTGTTACTTTCATGATGGCTGCTGCTGAGACAGATTCCAAAGGTCTCTTTTCTCTGTACCCATATCATGTTTCTGAAGAGCTCGGCTTCATCCTTCCTGAGCCTCTGGTAGGTGCTCTGTAAATCCTTTCAAGCTGATTCACCTTAGAGATATACATTTTTCTGCTGACTTTAAAATGTGAGTAAACTAATCTTCAGTTGAAGTTATGAATGAAGATAAAATAGTTGTATAAGTTTTGAAAATGTAAATCTAACTCAATTAACTGAACTTGAAACAAGTTAAATAAACTGAAGGTAATAAGTCGACATCACTGTTTAGTCCCTTAGACAGTTACATAGACACATTTGTTTTTCTTTTACATTTACTTGCCGCTGCGCCCCGGGTTCGAATGCACATTTACTTTAAGTATGAGGTATCTTATTTAAGTATTAGCAAGGAAATTACCTTGAAATTTAGTCAAACCCTTCTCCAAATCCAAGGGCACTGTACATGCAACAACATAAAACAAAATGCTAATTTTGGCTCACAAACTGTAAAATTCAGTGCAAAAATATTTTTCTGTTCGTCCTTTTGCCATGATTATCAACTTTTTGACAAGCACACTATACTGCAAATTCACTTTCAAAGGAAGAGCTTCCACCTTACTACCAGCCATGGATGGATATTACCTGGCAACTCCCAGAGCTTGTGCACTCTCACAAGCTGCGTGCTCATATTAACAAGGTAAGTAGGACCCATAAACTAGCAAGGACAGTTCATGATGTTTATGGAGCCATGGTTCAGTGTTGTTACTAACTGCATCCAGATGCCACTGCTGAGCAGCAGTTTTCTGAAGAAACACAAGGAGCTACGGCTGGCCCGCCTGGCTCTCGGCATGATGACCATGGGCTACGTCTGGCAGGAGGGAGAGGACAACCCAGCTGAGGTAATTCTGTATCTGCCAGTTTATGCAATATACATGTGAGAGTGCTGCACAAGGCAGCCTACTGCACTGCCCCCAAGCCCAGTCACTGCTTTAAGAAGTTCTACAGAATACAGCTTAAACATGTATAAATACTTACTCTTTTTTAATAATCTTCCTGTAAGATCCTGCCACGTAACCTGTCTGTTCCATACTGGGAGGTGTCACAGCGCTTAGGACTTCCTCCAATTCTCACCCACAACGATGTAGTGTTAGCTAACTGGAAAAAGAAGGATCCAGAAGGGTAAGAGCTTCTGCAAATGGTTTGAGGTTGTATATGTGTATATTATTGGGGGCGACTGTGGTTCAGTGGGTAGAGCGGTTGGAGGTTCTAATCACGGTGCCTGCAGTCCACATGTCGAAATGTCCTTGAGCAAGACATTGAACCCCCCAAGTTGCCCCTGATGGTTAGAACCATTGGTGTGAGTTGGTGCCCCAGATGGTTGCCTCAGTTCTGTACTGGAAACAAATTCCTTGTGTGTAACATACTTGGCCAAATAAAGGTGATTATTATTATTATATTATTATTATTATTGCATTATATTAATTTGCCCTGTTTGCTTTTCATGTCCATTTGTATATCTCATGTGCCAGGCCTTTTGACTTGGAGTGAGTATGTTTTCTTTTAAATTTTGATATTCAACATATAATATACCATAATATTTTTATGTATGCAAAAGCTATTGGTTTGCTTGCATCACACAGGAATCTGGAGCTGCTGTTCAATTTTCCAGGTGGAGATGGTGGCCAAGGTTTCTTCATTGTCAATCTGCTGGTGGAGCTGGCAGCGGCTCCTGCACTGAGGGTGAAGATATGCTGACACATAAGTCATTATGTGCTTATTTAAAAAACATTCAGAGGGTTATAGTTATAGCTATAGTTTGATATAGTTGTTGTTTTATGGTAACTTTCAAAGGAAATTTAAGACAAAGCCACTGTGTACCTGTGTTGCAGAGCATCCCCACTGTGATCAATGGTGTCAGGTGTGGTGACACTGAGGCTGTGGCCAGAGCTCTGGAGGACATTGGCCAGTCTATACAGGACATGACAGATACATTCAAACTGATACAAAGTAGTCATTCAGACACAGAACATAAATATATCAGTATTTATCCTATTAAGTATTTTGATGGATGCAATTTTTTTTTAAGTGCATGCAGATCCTTTGTTCTTCTATGGCGTTTTGAGGATCTATCTATCTGGGTACAGTCATATCTTTTTCATTGTCATTTGATGCATTAGTCCTTAATTTGTACAGCGGAACGTGCTTTTGAAATGCAACTATGTGTCCATGTTCACATGCATAGGTGGAGGGACAACCCCTGTATGCCAAAGGGGTTAATCTATGAAGGGGTCCAAACAGAACCGATGCAATATTCAGGTGGGAGTGCTGCACAGAGCAGCCTCCTGCACTGCTTTGATGAACTTCTGGGTGTCAAGCATGATGAAAAAAGTGGTATGATGGCTACATTTTTGTGCTTTCAATGATAACATCAATGCTGCGGAGGGATAAAATGAACTCACTCTGATGATACTGTCTTTTTAGGTGCCTTTCTAACACGCATGAGGGGCTACATGCTACCTGCTCACAGGCAACTGATCCAGGACATCTCATTACAGCCCTCCCTAAGGAGTTTTGTTCAGCAGCATCCCAGTGAGCAGCTGAACCAGGCCTTTCATCTCTGTGTCACAAAACTGCTGGCTTTGCGCAACTACCACATCACTGCCGTCAGCCGCTTCGTCACTGTACCTGCTGCTCATGCACGACGGCTCCGTAACCAGAGACAGGGCTTAGAAGGGGAGTTGATCAATAGAGCACCCATAGCACTGGAGGAGAAGGGCACCAGTGGCTCCAACATCATGATATTCCTAAAAACTGTCAGGGACCAAACAAAAGATGCCTTCCTGCCTGAGACAAGCATGAATCTGATATGAACTGTCATCAATGAGACGACACAACTGAGTGTCATCATCACATAAACAGGCAGTAAATCACCCCTGACATACCTGAAACACACTATTTTCTCTTGCATTAAAAGGATGCCTTTTGGCAGAATGAGAAAGCGAGGCCTCTGTTATTTGTCTTACATGTAGTTTTGTTGTGTCTGTAAACAAACCTCAGCTTCATTCATTCCAAACCATAATCAAACCATTAATGCTTTCTTTCCACCAGTTCCTTCTTTAATCTGAACCGGAATGAGAAAAAAAAACCCCATCAGACATTTGTTCCAGACCCACACCACATCTACAGACCATTTAGACATTAGACAACCTCCAGTAGGTCAATACTACACCCTCTTGGAGAGAGCGGTTGTGAGATTAAGATTAAATGTGGCAACAGTGGGTGTTTTTTGAAAGCATCCACTAAGGTTACTGGTACTGCTTAAAAAGTAAAATGAATAATAATTGAGTTGAGTTTCCAGCTGTGGAAAAAAAAAACAAAGGCACTGCAATACCTTGTGAAACCATGGCATGGCACTAAAGGGCAGCATTAAAATTCCCACCAAGGGAACATTTCACAGTTTGCTTTTGAAGGTACAGTCTGTAAGATCTATAAGGAATGAGCTATAAGTATGCATAACTGTATTTTCATTAAAGTGTAATTACTAGAAAAAAAGACTTGTTGGATCTTCTTTATCTTAGAATTAGCTTTTTTTTATCTACCTAGGCATGGTTCTGCTATCATTGAGGCCGCTTTGTGTGTGTGTGTGTTTTTTTTTACAGAGACAAGAACAGACAAACCACACACTATGATGAATGTCACATTTTCATGTTGAAGTAGCTGCTTGGTTTGGGAGACACTTGGAGGATGAAAAGATAATGTTAGAAAGAAGATGAAGAACTGTCATGACTTTAAGAACTATAATTTGTTAAATGTTAGTTCTTAGTTCTGTCAGGTCTGCTCGACCCTACCTGCCTCTTTCTTTTCTCTCCTCTGTTCTCTCGACCTGCAGGATTTGCACCTCAGCTGTGTTGCATTTGCAATTAGCGATTAGTTTGTCGGTGCACACAGGGAAAGGGAAATCTCTGAACAGAGAAAGGAAGTGCTAAAACAGCAAGAGAGATTAAAAATGTTGGAAGACCAAAGGGATCTTGAAGTCATGGAGGCTGAATATAAGGTGTATGCTGAAAAGGAATCAAAACTGCGTCCTGCAATAATGGATGAGGAGGAAACACACATTTCGTTAACAAGTCAGCTCTCAAAGCAGCACCACAGCATTCCATATGCCCAGGATTCCCAAGACGGGTTTACGCCAGTCTGCCCTGAAGGTAAACCTGAGCTGAGACCTGATGAGATGTCCCTGGCTCAAGTATTAAAGGAGTCACTGGCAGTAACCAGACTTCCAGTCCCAGAGCCATTCACGTTTACAGGCGATCCACTCACGTTTACTGAATGGCGCACCTGTTTTAAGGCCTTAATTGAAACCAGCTGCACAAACTCAGCTCATAGGTTATTTTATTTGAAAAAATATCTAAGTGGAGAAGCACTTGGGGTACTAGAAGGAACATTCTATAGGAGTGACGATGAAGCATACACACAAGCATTGGATGCCCTAAACCAACACTATGGCCACCCCTTCATAGTACAGAGAGCTTTCCGTTTGAAACTGAGTAACTGTCCAAAGATTGGACCCAGAGAATCTCTAAAGTTAAGAGAGATGAAATCATGCACTCATTATCAGTTACAGTTATTTGAAGATGTGTTAAAACACACACTAGTTAAAACCCTCCTTACTAAAGCATCGACAGGCTGGAACCTGATCTTTGTAGCTCAGAAAACAATCATCCTTTGTTGTATCTTAATTCTGTTTTGCGGTTTGTACTGCCTCACAATGGGGTTGTCATGTCAAAGCACAATGGACAAAGCAATGCAGAGACGCATCACTCTCAGGGTGGTTACCTCAGCACTCCTGCCATCCTCTTGCAGCCCACATCCAGCCCTCACATGCTGAACTATACTTCCTGGCCAGAGTATGGAAAACCCAGAGCAATGAAGGGATGGATTGTGCCATGAATGGCTCACACTGTGTTTATCTTCACCTTTCTTGGCTCATCTTCACTGGTGTTTCATTACAACAACAGCCTTGAAAAAAATCTGATAGAACAAAACTTTTTGGCAATTACATGACAATTTCCCTCTAATTTGAACAATCTGCTTTATCTTGTGCTACTTTTCACATGCTGGGAAGATAACTGAAGAGCAAATCAGAGGGTCCAGGTTTTAGTATGAGAGACATTTTAAAGGTTGTCTGGAGTGTGCATAAAACATATCTTAAGCCATTAATTCATACTGATGTACAACAAATACATAAAACTTGTCTGAGCCATCACTGGGTAGTAGTCATTCATGCTTTTACTCAGTGCGACCCGTTCACTCTGACATGTTGTGCAACAGTTCATATAAAATGACAGGAAGACCCAAGGTGAAGAGGTGAAAGGTGAACAGAAACTACACAGGGATGGAGAGAGCTGGGTGGTGCTGAGGACAAACAGTTTGTTCACATGTCACGGTGATGTGATTAGAGCCTTGTTCCACAGCCAAAGCAAATAATCCCCTTCCTTATTGCCTGGCTATGGAGGACTCCCTGACAACCCTGCAGTAAACACAAGCCATCTCTAAGGATGTCTTCATTGTGTAGTTTGGGTTGGGCCTGCTGAAGTTTCACCTTGTATTACAACAGAGGTTGGTTTCAGCGTAGGAAACCACATCATTTGTACTGGGATCACAATGTTGTGATAGGTACTGCAAAATAAAAGTGTATAAGGTGTCATCATTATACAGTAATTATGTTGTAGTGCTTTAGCTCTAAAAAAAAATCTGTTACAAATGTTCTGAATACAAATTTGTCAAGCAAATACTCTCAAAAATCAATTCAGTGAGCTAAACAAGTGATTTTCCTCATGGCAATGGGCATCTGGAGTCACTCTTGTTTTCATGAAACCTATTCGAACATCCATATTCCATCTATCAGAGCCGACAGGATTACAGGCGTGGGCTCCCAGTTTGGATAGACAATCGGATATCTGTGCCTTGGTGGTTAACCACAGGATATCCTGGATTCAGTTATTTTCAAATTAAATTTATGATGCTTCTGCTTACCTCAAGCCAAACAAAACCAGGACCTTTTCTCACCCTGTGATTGAGCAGCTTCATTGGCAGCTGCTAGGGATTGGTTGTCTTTGACGCAGACATGATGGGCGTAGCTGGGAATTATGTGCAGTAAGTGCAGGACAGGAGGTGATACTGGGTGTTCTCCCACTTTATAATAATTTGTTTTCACTATGTTTATCAGACGTCTATGTTTACACACCCACAGGACAGATATGTTGTCATAACTTGCTGATTACTTTAGAGATGCCCTCAGGTAAAGTATGTTCAACCTGGGGTCTGTTTATCTTAATAATAGGCTGTAATCGGTTTTTTCACCATTATGTCCAGAATTTGTCTTTAAATGATAGTTATTTATAGCTTGATATTTACTTTTGTTTGTCTTTCTCTAAATACTATACATACACTTGAGATGAATATGATGCTTAGACATTTAGACTAAACACTTGTAGTTTTAAGGCACACTAGTTGTTACCTGGATTCCTCCCCCCCATAGAACATCAGTTTAATGGTTTGAAATAAATAATTACACTCAAGATGTGACAGCTCACCCCAGGAGTAAGGAGTTTACTAATCTATAGTGCTCATAAAAAATCTCCTAATGCCATGATTACCTCCAGATTGATGTGAATCACTGTTCTGATCATACATCCATTAGGAAGGTTTCCATAGAAGCATCCCTATATATACACAAATGTAGGCAACATCCACTGTGTTGTTGTACATTTTCAGACTTCTGCCTACTAGTCACCATTAAATATGACATCAAGGGCATTGTTCATCCACACATTCTTTCAGATCATTTCTTAACCACAACTTTGATTTGAACATCACTTGTGTGGTCTGATAGAGCAGGTTAAAGGCATTTGATGTAGTCATCTTACAGCAACTTTATCACTTCCTCTGCAGTGACTCAAGTGAAATGGAATGCCCACATGAAAAAAAGAAAAAGAAGAAGACATGTTCACAGCCAGCTTGAAAAGCTGTTTTTTCAGGTGTAGAATTACTGTTATTGCCATGATGAGCCAGCCCAGATAACGTCACTGACTTGACAGGAAAGCACACGTCACATTGCAGCCATTGTTCATTATTCTTTCAGGGAAAACTTGTGACATTTCCCCCACGAGAGAGATAATACATTATGCTGTGTCTCCCCCTAAAAGGAACTGTGAAGTTTCATTAGACACAAAGACAAAAGTTTTAAACAGGAATAGCATCTACAGCCTGATGTGAGGTCGTACTTCATGTGTACTTGTGCTTTAAGCTAAATGCTACATCGGCATGCTAAAGTGCTAACAAAGACAGTCTTAAAGCAAGACACTTTTAAAATATGTCACTTTTAAAATATACAAATAATAAATTGTTTCCCATAAAAGGTTTACAAATAATAAAAATACATCAAACCAGTTAATTCCAGTTCAACATCAGTGTCTGAGCTAAATGCTACCAGTTTGAGATATTTCACTTAAATGTGGCGCTAAAAGTCAGAGGATCCACCAATACTGTATGAGATATTTAACTTTGGAGGAAAGTCAACCAAATGACTTTGCCACCCCTTTAGCTAAACTGCTTAAAATGTTAAATGAAAATGAAATAAACTGCTTTATTGTAGTTTCTAGGATTTTTTTTTGTCTTACACAACACTTGTTGTCTCTGCCATAATAACCTCCAGCCCAGCTTATTTGACCTGTCCTTATTTCAGTTATGGGGAAAGATCAAACCTTTCAAATAAATACACTTGTGCAACAGACATTTCTAATTGTTCTCTTTCATGTACATCGTGAAATGTGCTTTGATAAGGTTAATGATTAAAATCAATAATGTTAGAACAAAGTGTTCCCTCAGCGATCTACTTCATGTTTTCATTGGTTCTTGCTTTCTAGTGGCTGCTGGCCAGAGAGTGAATTCAAGAACAATAAATATTTGAATGCATTATCAGATCTGTGAAGTTCAGATTTTTCACACTGTCAGGCTTATCTTCATTAAACTTTACTTTGTGACTTATGGAACATAAAAAAGCTGTGAAGTTTATAAGAAATTAGGAGAGATGTTAACAGTAGTGATGAGTAAGACTATTTCTCATATTAAAGGACAGGTTTGGGATTTTCCAAGTTGGTCTTAAAACAATACTGAGATCTCCATATGTATGAGAATATAGTAGGTTTGAGTTGCTGTAACACATTAACTCTGAAGCTTGTTACCCTGAATGTGCCTACATTGAAAACAGTGACAATTCACAGCCCTGGTTCCATGCAAAAATGCACTCCAAGGTTTGTCTGAGCCTCAAATGAAGCTTCACCCTTGCCAAGCTGTGACAGAGGGATATGTTTTAGTAGTCATGTGTAAGTTAATGTTATCGGATCCAGCTTTTTACTCACATTAACCTATAAACAATATCAACACCTTTCTTGGTTATTATAATAC